GGGAGAGAAAATTTGAATGTTGCCCGTGTCTGGATGGAAGACGGCACTCAACTACAGGGACCCGATCTGTTGGGGAGTGTTATGGCGCAATGTGAAATCCATCAAATTGATCGTGCCAATTTAGATGGGATTATTATTTCGAATATTGTTGAGTTGCAAGAACTAGATCGCTTTTGGGTTTTAACAAATCAATCCCGTGATCGATTGCGGGAGTCCTTGAGTTTTCCTGTTGTTCTCTTCTTGAACTCAATTTCTCTTGAGAAGATGGTCCGTTTAGCTAATGACTTACACAGTTGGAGTACGTCTAAGCGTTTTCATGTAACCCTCGAGAACCACCAACAAGATTTGAGAGATGAAATATTTGGCTGCGACGGAAAAAATGGTTTTTTTGATCGTTTGATGGTCAATGAGAAAGCAGTTTTAGCATTGGAATTGCCTACCACTTCTTCACAAAGGCAAGAGTTTGTGTTGGCGTATGAATCTCTCAAAAAATCTCCAAATGCCTGCGTTTGGGAAGATGAATTGATGTTCGCTAGCGTGATAATTTCGCTTATTGAAGGGCGCATTGTTTTAAATAGAGGAGACTTTAAAAAAGCTGCCGAATGGTTTGAGAAAGCTGAGGCTGAGATACGTCAACTATTGACGCAGAAGGATGTGGTAGAGGGTGATTTTGAACTGGGCTGGATTAAACTGTATCAGGGAATTACTGCTCTTGGTCAACTTGATAAATCACCGTGGCCAACAGAAAAATTTGGAGAGATCTGGGGATTTTTTGAGGAGGCAAAGCGTCTTTGCTCGAATGGTTTTTCTCGCTCTTGTCTTACATCAAAACAGAGCTTGTCGGATTTGAACTTTATTAAGTTGTTGGCTTTGAGGCAGGAGGCACTCCAAGCACAGGTATTAGGTCGCGATGATGATGAAATACAAGCCTTAGATAAAACTCGAAGTCTAGAGATTTACTGCTTCCCCCATCTCTTCCTAGATGCTCTACAGAGACTGCAGCATCT